ACCACTCGTTTAACCCATTTTTCTGTTTACCACCCATTTGACCCATTTAACACAGGTAAACCATCTATTTGACACATTTATTTGTTTACCACCCATTTAACAGGATAAACCACCCATTTGACCCATTTATCTACCACCCATTTAACATGATAAACCATCCATTTGACCAATTTACCTGTTTATTTAAAAATGCTATATAACTTTATAAAACTAACACAAATAATGTGATATTTAGAGATATCACACCATATTACAAAGTACAAACTACAATCCAAAATAACCAAATTTCACCAACAACCATATTACAAATTGGAGATCAAATCTCCACCTTAGATTCTATGTTGTTGGAGCTGCAACCACCTTAGATTCATGCTCGACCTAATCTTCTTCATCAGAAACTATAATATTGTGTTCGGAAGAATCCACCAGTTTAAGGCAAAAAAATAGAGTTAAAATGATATCACCCCCAACGCACACAACACACAAAAACTGATACACAAAAAAAAAAAAAAAGTTACTTGTAAACTTATGTTAAATTGTGAATATAGAATTCACACAAGCACTGCAATTACAGAATTCACTCAAGCACTGTCATTCACTCCATTAAAGAACTCATTAAAGAATTCCCTCAAGCACTGCAATTACAGAATTCAGTCAAGCACTGTCATTCACTCCATTAAAGAATTCGTTAAAGAATTAAAGAATTCAATTTAAATTATGTTAAATTGTTAAGTGCAAGTGCAGAGAATTCACTCCATTAAAGGAAATACTTGTAGAAATAATGCTCAGACTTCAACCAAACCAACTTATGTGAAATTGTGAATATACACTCCATTAAAGAAAATTACGCAAGCACTGTCATTCATAAATAATTCACACGCACAATAGAAATATATCTATTTCCATTAAAGAAAATCACGCAAGCACTGTCATTCATAAACAAACACAACCCACAATAGAAATATATCTATTTGTCTAAAAAAACGAAAAAAACACACACACACATAGATCCCAAGTCCAAGGTCAGGTGCTTAATCAGTGAAAGAAAACATCTAAAAAAAAAAAAATAAAAAAAAAAAAACCAAAATAGCCTTAACACAGTTGGGGGGCTAAGCTATATGAGATAATGGATGGGGAATTTAGGTGCATTGTCAAATTAAATGAAAATACGTGTGATCGCATGGTGATCTAAGAAAATAGCCAATTTGTGATATAAGAAAATAGCCCTCATCTCTTGGTGATCTATTGGATCCTTCTCTTTTGAGAAGATTTCCAGGTAGACCAAAGAAAATTAGGAGAAGGGAGCCTGATGAGGCAGCAACTAGAACAAATGTAGTTAGGAGGAGCTTAACAGTGAGATGTGTGATACGTAAGGAATATGGACACAACAAGAGAACATGTCAGACGGCACCGGTAAGGGAATCACAAGGCAGAGGAAATACTGGGAATGAGGATGGGGCACAAAATCATAGCAAGGCACAAGCAATGTCAAAGTACAAGAGCTTTTTTTCAAATCCAGTCTCTCCACTATCTTAATTCCTTAAATCAGTTTGTTTTAAACTTATTTTTTAAACATAGTTTTTTTTTTAAAACGTCATTTGAATGACGTCTTAATGAGTTAAAACGTCATTTTAAATGCGTCATTTTTAATGACGTTTTAACCCATAAATTTTTAAACAGCAACTAATAGATGTTGTAAAAAAATGAGGGGTAGAAAACATCATTATAAATGACGTTTTCTGCCGACAGTATGGAAAAGTGCATACAGCAGGGCTATCTGTAGTGTGCTTTGGAAAAAAGAAAAAAAAAAGTGAAATTCAACCATGGACCAGCTTTTTGACTTTGCATGAGGATTAAATTGCTTGTTCTATGGAGTCCCAGTTAGTATTGGTGGCGGAGGAGAGATAAAGTGCTATCTGCAGTGTCCACACCCCCGCCCCCCCCTTTTTCTGTTTTTCTTTCTCTCTCTCTTGCACACACAGACAAACACAAGTGCACGCATGGAGCTTGGTGTACTTTTTTTTTTTTTTTATAATAATCAAAACACATTTATTAATGAAGTATGAAAAGTAAATCAAAAATGGTTGGGTATGAAATCCATGCAAGAAAATAGAATAACCAAGGGAGCTTGTTAAACTCAGATTCACTCAATTGGTATACCACATAATGTCATAACCAAAATAATTTTGGTTTGTCTCTATCTTTTACAATCATGATAAAAAAATGTTATTATAATTTTCTGTGTTGTACGTGCATGTGAATAGTAAAGAGCATAGATGTTCATGAACAACTTGATGATGTAGGAGCTCTGATATATTATTTTTTAGGTCAATGATTTGCAAGTGTTTCTGGAGAGCGATGGAAGATTTTATATGTTAACACTATATCCACAGATAACATATAATGTGAGAGGAGAAATGAATTAATAAGAAAAGAAAAAGGTATTTCCTAACACCCCCCCCCCCCCAAAAAAAAAAAAAAAGGGAAGGAAGAAGACAATTACAGAGACTCTTGGACTCCCACAAAATTGTTCTTGTCACTAGCATAACAAAGCAAAGCATTAACAAAGCAAGAAAGACAAATAACAATCACCCCTTGTAGATTACATCTATCCACCAAATAGAATCAATCATCTTCACTCAAAAGGAGCTATGCCTTGGTCGTTCCTGTGCAACATTAACTCTGATTGCCCTGCTGTCCAAACTCTGCATTAAAAGTGATACACGAAATCAGGCAGAAATTAAGGTACTCACGGTATTCCAAAATGAAACATACTCAAGAGGTCACTTCAACATTCTTTTTTTCCCTGCTTCTTTTCTTCCTACTTTCGTATTTGTTATCTATTTGTGCAGATGGAGAATTAACATGTGAGGGTGGAATATATCCCCACACCCCCTCCCCCTTCCCCTTTTAGAAGGTTTGTGTTCCACTCAATTAAATATAAAAGACAATATTGCTTGGTCTATCAGAAGCTTTAACTCTGCTTTTACTAGTTTTTCTATCAGAATATTAAGTATAACTGCCTGATGCAAAGGGGAAGTACAAAAAATTATTTTTTGGTATAATTACCCAATCTTATTTTGAAGTGCTTTGTAAGATATGTAAAATGGGTTTCTAGAAGCATTCAAACTTAGAAAACTTCGCAACAAGAAAGCTTGACTTTTCACCAACGCGGTTATCTTTGTGGGATACTCTTATTTCATTTAAGTTCCAAAGAATTTTCATAATTTTCTTCCTTCTCCAAACTTTCATCATTTTTTTTTGGGAGGAGAGGGGTGGGAGGGGGACTTAAACCTTTGATATCAAGAAGATAAAGCCTTCAAAAGTTAAGGAGTATCATTGAACTAAAGACTCATCGATAAAACTTTCGTCATTTAGTTTAGAGGTTGTAATCTTAATTCATTAACCATTAATCCATCTAATTCGTCCATAAATAAATAAGTTGGATACTTATATTAATTAATGTGGGTTCTAAACAAATTGGGTAATATAACTCATTTTAATTAAGCATGTTAATATGAATTATAAATGGATACTCATTTTTTTGAGTATTTATCTTTCTATTAAAAAAAAAAGTAATAAAATCAAATACACACTAATATACAAAAAAAATACACACACACACATACACTGATACACAAAAATATATAAACTAATACATCAAAATACACACATACCAACAGTGGCGGAGCCACTCAAAGACTAGGGTAGGCTTGTGCCCACCCTCAAATTTTTTGCCTTGTCCTTACCTATTAAATTTTTGAAATTTATCCAATTATGTCCACCCTTAATTTTCTTGTCATATCAATTAATAAATATAGACTCATACCTAAATAACTATTTATGGACACAATTTGGACATATTTAGATAAGGTTGGACATATTGAGGTTATTTTTATTTTTTTAAGAAATTATGATAATATTTTGTACTATATAAAAATTGGAGACATTGCATTTTTAACATAGGTTCATTTGGTAAGTATAAAGGAAATCAATGTCACAACTTAAAACTATAAAATTAATTAGAGTTAAAAAAAACTCAAATATGAATATTGAAACGAGTGAAATAATTGAGATAGAGAATAATTGAAATCATGATTATGGATACAGAAAAAGATCTTTCTCGGTGTCATTAATAATAAAGTCACTATATAACGTTATCAAAGTATAAAAATTTTCTGGGTCAATTTTGACAAAGTACAATAACATTAGTTTCAATAGAAGACTGTAATTAGCCTATTTTCTATTGTGCACATATATAAATTGAATTTTTCAGTATTGTTGATGAAATAATTGTATAAGCGTATCATCTTTTTTTTTTTTGTCGATTAGGATAAAACTTATTATAGTGCCCACCGTAGGAGAATTTTTTGGCTCTGGCACCGCATACTAGTACATTAAAACATAGATACACACTAGTTCAACAAAACATACACATACACTAATACACAAAAATATTCACAGTATAAATATTGGGGTTAGTGTAGGAGAAAGTGGGAGAAGAGAATGCAAGAGTAATCCTCTTAACGGAAGGTATAGCATCTGAAACAAGTACCCAATTTATAAATGGTTGCATTACACAATCCTACAGAAAATTTAAGAGGGAGTTTAAACCAAAACACAAAATAAAAAATCTAAAAACCAATCACAAAACGACAACAAATCTGGTTATGTCTTATTTCAATTGCTCCCTTGCAAGCTCTCCGTTCATCAGTCTCTCACCAGATACTACGATGGCAACACCAACAGCTACTCCAAGGGAGATATTACATGTAACTGGGAATTTCAAGAACCTCACTCAGGAGTCCTGAAGAGCAAGTAAAAATATGTAGCAAAATATAATATAGTTTCACTAACGTTTGTTTTCCTTTCGAGTCTTAATTCATATTTATGTTTGGTCTCACGAGTTTTATGTTGGTTGTCTGTTACTTAACACTATTCTTTGCCTTTATCAGTACCTTGGATTAATGAGAACCAAACTAGGTAAATTGTAACAATCTCTATTTCTTGCCCACTTGCCCTTTGTGATCCCCACCAGAAAAGGGGCGACGAAGCAATATCACTAGGACGTTTTGGACCTCATGGACACAAACTTCACACTCTTTATTTCCTTCCAATCGACAATGGTCATGGACAAGGGTGGTTTTGCAGTGGCATTTTGTCTTCAACACATTTTCTTCAGGGAATAAGTTGATACAGTATTTACAAACTGATTCCTCTTTAGGAATCTCTTCATCGTCTTCTACTAGGACAAAGGAGTGAGGTTAGCTCAAGATGATATAGCAATACAAGTAAAAAAAAATTGATATTGTACTAATAGAAAGACTCGAAAAGTTATTTTCAATACCATACTTAAAAATACAATTTTTGAAGGTCAAGTTTCATTTAATCGATATTATTCGTGATCGATCATGCCAGTGAACCTCATTTAGTTGTAATTTAACCTTTAAAAGTTGTATTTTAGTGATCGATGATAACTCTTTGAGTTATAACCTTCTCAAAGTTTGATATTTGACCATTAAATGTATTTTCCAACATTTAGACCAAGCACAAAATCCCTCAAGATCTAACCTCCACCCTGGATAAAATCTAACAAAAGTTAATTTTTTTGACATATTGCACTTCATTTTTGAAACTAAACTTTTAGAATCAAAAGCAGTGGCTGGGTTATAATATTTAATATTAAATTTCAAATTCAGTCATATCCTTCATATAAAAATCAATAATACTCCTTAGACTTAATCGGTTTTCTTATTCCATTGCTATTATTGTATGAGCACTGAACCTGAGTGATATTTGAATCGACTATCAATCAAAGAACAACAGAATGAAAGGCTAATACATTTAGTTGAAGTAGTGACATTAGTCGAAATAGAGTAAAATTGAATCTTGAAATTCATGATCTAGATTAGAATCAAATAAATTACACGTGGTTTAACCGTCCCTTGCAACCTCGTCGTCGGATTTGCTCTTGAAAATGAAGGTTTGGGCATACTCAACGACCTCCACTGAGAAGAAAAGAGAAATCAAACACCAGTGGAGAGGAGAAAAGGTGAGTCTAGAGAGAGAGAGAGAGTAATAATCAGCCTCAAGGCATAACACATGTTGATATAGTGGGTTTTGGATAACTTTTCAAAAATGTTTGTAGGACTTGTGACTTTTCATAAGTACTTTTAAAAAAAGTATAGTATTTGAAACACCTTATTACCATCGTCGCCACCACCATCACCACCCAGCACCATGCACATTTTGATAAAATACTTTTTATTTTAGTGTTTTTTTTTTGTTTGAGCATCCAAACGTTGTCTATTTAATGAAATTACTTTTTTATAAAACACTTTTGAGAAATACTTGTATAAGAAATACTTTTTGAATTTTATAAGTCATCTCAAACACAATAATGTGGAAAATACAGCCCCAAGACAAACTTGGTATAAGTATTTGGATGTATCATTAAGAAAAAACATCTTAACACATTCTAACTCTTTTATTGTTAAGGACAAATTATACTTTGATCCTCTAAATTCTAATCTTAAACTCAGTTTGCCCCTTGGGCCACTGAATTTCCTACATTGTTCCCTTAACTACTTGAATTAGTTACACCTTACTCTAGTACAAACACTACAACAAAAATTATTTTTTGCAACGTTTTAAATTCATCACAAAAAATATACTATCTGCGAGGATTTGATAAATTTATTACAAATAATTATTATGATAATTTTTTTGTGACGTTTTTTTAAGTCCGTCGCAAAATTGTGAGTCCCTCCATTTTTTTTTTGGCGCGAGTGATGGAGGGAAATAAAAAAAAAAAATTACGACAAAATTTTTTTGTCGCAAATTAAATAATCAAAAAATAAAATAAAATTTCAATTTGCGACGTTTTTATTTTCATCACAAAAAATATACTATTCTTCGAAGGTGATGATAGAGATTGGCTCCCTAGCGAAGACGTTTGCCCCTATTAGAAATGTGCACAAATTGAAGCAAATAACATAAGAGGAAAAGATACCACTCATTGCATGGTTGTTAGTTAGTGGATATATTTGTTTGGTTTCAATAACATATTTATTTGTGTAGAGTGTTACAACATGTTGTAATTAATTTGTATATTTATATTTTGTTGAAGACAAAGTTTAACATTAAAGAGTATCGTGAAAAAGTTAGTGTTAGGAAGGTCATCGACAAAATATTTGCTGCGAGGTACAGGGACCACTGATACTATATGCATATGCACTATAAGGATTTGGTTGAGTCTAGTGTTGACCCAAAGAACAAGCCATATGGTGATGTGAGTCAGGAGGATTGGGAGTACATAATTGAAACATTTTGCGAAGATCCAAAATTTCAAGTAACTTTTATAAGCTATGCAAATTAATATCCACTTTTTATTCTCAATTGTGTACTAATTATATTCTTTGTATATAGGTAAAATCTAAGAAAAAATGCAAAAGATAGTGTCAAATTGTCATACAACCACTCGATGAGTTCAAAGTCCGTTCAGTCTGTCCTATATGAAAGGGTGTTATACTTTAGGATTTGCTTACAAAATTTTAATATATAGGAAATTCAAAATTTTGAATATTGATATTTTGATTAACTGTAACAGAGGGACTCTACGACTGAGGAGTCACCCCACATTGTTGATTTTTTTCATGATTCTCATGTGAACAAGAAGGGTGAGTGAGTTTCGGCTGAGGTAGAGTCAAGATATATAAGTATTTTAAATTGTAGAAAATTATGTTTTTTTTTTTAAAATAAAATTTTATGATACACTCACTAATTGGGTTTAAATACATTAAATTGTTGGAGCGGATGAAAGAATTTTTCACACAGAACTTGGAAGAGGGTGTAGAGCCATTGACATAGGATGGAATTGCATGCACAATCCTTGGTAGCCGACCTGAATATAAGAAAGGATTTGGACATGGCCCGAAGCCTTTATTCTCTAGTCAATCATTCACATCCACTGCTAAGTATCGAGAACAAGCTGATATGATAAAAGAGTTACAAGCAACTGTTGATTCTCTTTAAAAGGAATGCGATGAAACGAAAGTAAAACTAGAGAAGTTTGAAGACGCACAACAACAGATGATGCAACAACTTTTGCAGATGCAACTTCAAGTGCAACTTGTTCTGCAGGGCAGCTCAACTAATGCAGAAATGCCAACTGAGTCTTAGTATCTTTTTACTATCATTTTAAGTTCAACATTTAAGAAGTATAAAAACTAAAACTTGGAGCTAAGTGGGCCAATCGGCTCGTTTACGCTCTGTTTGCCGTGAAAGCGAACAGAGAGCAACTATTTGGGCATAGAAACTTGTAGGAAAAGACGATTTCTCATTTTCGAGACTCGAGTTGAGAGTTTGACGAAAAATTAGAAAATTCAATACTTAAGAATTAAGGGTGTCAATCGTCTCGTTTCAACTATGTTCACCATGAAAACGGACGAAGAAGAATTATTTGGATATATAAATTTGTAAGAAAAGACATCTCATTTCAAGATGGGTTGAGAGTTTAAGAAAAAAACTAAAAAATTTAACACTTAAAAATTAGAAAACTTGTATGTTTTTGAAAAATTTGATTGATAATTTATTAATGTATTTTTTTTTCTTTTTTGTGACAGATGAATTCTGGACTTCTGCATTAAAGTGGCTAACGAATTATCTTTTGGTTATGTATTTAAATATTGTATTATTCCATCTTGTTTTGATGTGTGATTGTTGTTTTAATATGTGATTTTTAAGTGGTTTTTGCTGATAAGGGTTAATTGTTTGGCTATATGGTGTAACTGTTGATTTGTTTGAAATATGGTAAAAAGAGAGGCATTGGCAAGTGTTAGTTTTGGTTTTGAAAGTGCTTTGCTTAGCAGGTTGCTGCTTTAGACTAGTCTGGAGGAAGTTTTGGGGTGGAGCTGTTGATTTGGTTTTGGTTATTTTGTATCACGTGACTGTACAGTTAGTTTATTGGCCTCTACTTGGATAATCTTTCTTGGTTATTTTGTAGATTGCAAACTTTCTTGTTTCGTAAGTATTCGTTGAGTGCTCTACTGGATATACTGCTGTCAAATAAGCTGGCTGCTGGGAAACTCTTTGTGGGACAAAAACTTAGGATACTGCATTGGTTTCCTCATTTATAATTTCCTTTTCTTGCTTAGATGTCTTGTTAACTTTCCATTATTTAATTCACTATCCTCTGCAGATTTGGGGAGCTGGATTATGTGGCTGGGTTAGGCCTGTTTCACCACTCGAGGTCATTGCCAAATTTAACTGCTTAATGAAGTTGACTTGTTGGTACATTTATTCTCTTTGTATGGTTTTCTCAAGCCTTTCCTTCCATATCAGACACCAGGAACAATTAGTTGAGGTTATTTGCTGGTGATAATTAAAAACATAGGCCATTCTTAGGTTATGTGATGAAGCCCTTTCATAACACTAGAGACGATTAAAAATATAAAATTAATTATGTAGAAAATGTTAAAAAAAATGAGAACTGGAAGGTAAGTATCTCCCCCCCCCCCCCCCCCCCCCCCAAGTGTTGGGGTAAAGTAAAATAATCATGTCACCTATCACAAGCACGTGCAACCATTATGCTCTACACAGGCCACTTTTCATTATCTTTTTCCCCCTATTATGCTTCATGTCTTCTGTCAAGTCTTAGCTCATGTTCATTTTAGTCTTGATAAATTTTAGTTGCGGGTTGAACTCAAACTAACAGTGTTAGGAGGGGTGGATTGGGTACGTACCTATATTTTGCATAATATGCATGAAGTGACTCCCCTCTGTATAAAGCCACAATCTCGCACTTCTTAGCCAAAGTATAGTCCTTTACCCTCTGGTTATCAATTTGGGAATGAGTAGTAATTGTTCAAATTATGCGGGAACATCAAGTTACTTGTCTTGGACCTGGTTGAATCGATGTAGATAAGCGTTCACCTGTTGTAGTACTTGACTTTCTTTTGTGGATGTAGGTGCTCAGTTGTTTCAGAGGGCATTATAGCTGAGTTTCACAGGGATATCAAAGATGTCCATGGTAATAATGACCATGATAGTGAAGAAGGGGCAAAAATCTTAAGGATGCTTGAGACAGCTACTAAACCAGAAGTTCTAATGGCCGAGATGAGTTCAGAGCAACTAACTTCTTTTGCTACTTATCAAGTAAAACTAGAGGCAGCTGGTTTCAATTTTTTTGTTTCACATATTTTCTAAATCAGTAGGGGTTATTAATGTGGCTGATCCATTTTTAGGCACTCACACAGTCAGATATGCAGAAATCAATTGAGAAAGCTCTCAACGAGGCTGGCTTAAGTAGAGCTTAGGGAGGTAACCCCATTTGTGAGGGCACTCAAACGGCCAGAATTTGATCTTCCTCCAGGTTTAATAGTTCGGCCTCGTTTATGTACTTGACTAATAGTCAAGACCCCTGTTTGCAAGGCACTTGGATA